GCCAAAATAACCTGCTATCTCACCTTTTGCAGTAAAATTCAAGGACTAAATCTCACTGGAACTCTTGGAGGCCAACTCGATAATCTCCAGAACCTGAAGCACCTGTTAGTGGCTTTGTTGCATTTCTATTTGTTCCTTTTTATTTTGGGCCAGTGTATTTGCTTAATCTGCTGAAGCTTTACTAAGTGTTTAACTCTGAAACGGTTTTCTTTTGTTAGGGATGTTAGCTCCAATAAAACGATTTCCATGAAGCAAACAGCTTCCATTACCAGATGATCCAAAAACTAAAGAGAATGAATCAGCTAATAAGTCAACTGAACACCTTAAAAGAATACTAGCAGTTGAGTTCTCTTAAAAATTCTAGTTACTTTCTCTATCTCAGTTGTCACAAGTGGTGCAAGCATGTGAAAATTATCAATGGTAAAATCTAACCAAGATAACTTGCCCCCTCCATTAGGTTCTATCAGGTGCCCATTTGTGCTCACTCCATAAATGCTCCTATTATCAAGTCCATCAATCATTTGGGAAACTAAACTGCTAACCATGTCCAGAATGGTGCTCGAGGAGTTGGATGGAAGGCTTGTGGCTAAATTATCATGATAATCGAGAAAGGAATGGGGACGGAAACTTGTAATGCACTGGTTCCCAGACTCCATTTCATCCGGAGCATGGTTTGGCTCCTGAAGGTTAAATTGGTTGCTAACGGATGCCACTCTAGCCGGAGAGGGCAAGCTGATTGGAACACTAGAACTTCGACTAGGTCCAATAAATGTATTCACAAGTGACTTTATATCATAATGTAATATCGGGCTGGATCCATTATCCATGTAGCCAGATGCACTTACCCCAGCTGTTGTAGTAAATGATAAAAAAATAAAAATGAGATAAAAGAAAATAAGTACTAAGAAAACAGCTTACAATAAATGACCAATAATTGATGAGAGTAAATAAACAATTAATAGGCAAAGTGGCAAACCATACCCACGCGTCCTGCCATCAAGTCATCCAAAGAACTTTGACAGAGATCATTAGATTCATCCTGCCCTTGGTCTGAAAGTTGCATAAAACTGCAAAAGGAAATCCTTTTCATATATCTACTACTTCTAGAGGAAAAATTAAAAAGACAAAAGGTAAAAGGAAACAGCTCAGTTATACTAATTGCATACTATATGGGCCCCAAAGAATTAATTGCGTGTTATTGATAGTTCAACATTAACAGCAGAATATAAAGATGGAAGTAAAATCATAAACCATCGTATAAGGGGTGATACAAACCTTTCCACATCCAAGACCAGAATAAGGAAACAGCATATAGTTCTTATCTCCCAATTAAAAAGCTAGAATCCACTTCCCTAAAACAGTGAAAAAGAAAGGAAAATAGTGCAGGTAAACGATAATACCATCTTACAGCCCCTGGAGGACTTGGTTCAATTTTGATCTGCTTCCCAGCAATGTCATACCCATTCAATGCACAAAAAGCAGCTTCAGCAGCTCTAACATCATAAAATTCAATGAATTTGTGATTTTGCTCAGGAGAAGTCTCATGGATCTGCAAAGCAGAGTTAACCACATCACTCATCACTCTATTAAAAGTGAATGTAAACCTAAGGAACCCATTGAACCACATACTTCTTTAATTTCTCCAAAAACACCAAAAATTTGTTGAATCTCATTGGTTGAAACAGAGGCATCAAGATTGAAAACTACCAGCATTTCCTGATTGACATTATTTTCATATGGATTACCCTGTGGTATTATCAAGCAAAGAAAAAATTCATCAGAAAAAATGGTACACCAAGATGAAGGAACCAAATAAATGAAGCTAGTAACAACAATGACAACCTTTGGAATAGAATAATGTATATCTAGTTTCCTATGCCTCAATGGCTTAGTTTGGAGAGCTCTCTGTGCATTTTGGGCTGCCCTTATATCATAAAAAGAAATCATCGCAAAACTATGATGTTTGCGGGCTGTATAGAGAGTACGGATATCTCCATATTGCCAACAGGAAACAACCATCAATCCAATTTGATTAAAAATGTTCCTACAGGGAATAAGAGGAGATAGAGATTCCAACAAATATTGTAAAAAAATGAAGGAATACAAACCTCAAAAAGTGCCTTGAGTTCAAAATCTTCAACATTACTGTTAATGTTTCTTACAAAAAGCGTTCTAGAAAGATGTTCACCACAACGGTCTCCACCAACAATTGAACCATTAGATGCTCCTACAATATCTGAGTTTCCTTGACCCACACCTAAACGATCATCACCTTCCAATTCCATGCCCCACCACTACTAAATGGGTCAAAATCCTCTAATTCATCACCCCTATTGGCAGGAGTATCAAGTCCCATTACTCCAGAAAAATGATCATCTTCATCAGGATGGAGATTTCCAATGGTATGTGCCTCAATTTCTTCAAGGGATTCTAAAGTTTCTTCCTCATGGCCTCAAGAAACTTTAAAGCTAGGTAGATGAGTTGGAGCATCATTCCTCAATAATTGCACGACATAAAGATAAGAAAAGCATAAATCAGACAGGAAATTAAGCAAATCATATGATTTTTAAAACTATATTTGATTTCTTTACACAAAATGCTTGATTTTCCGACATTAATGTTTAAAAGGAAATGCCTGGGACACAGAGAGACACATAATAACAAATGAAAAAAATCACTGTACTTCTACACTTATGTTTGCCGTTAATGTTTGGAGAACTACATTGGCAAATTAAAAGGGTTATCTGTCAAACCATCAAGCATTAAGTCTAATAAAGTATCTTCTTTTAGGAAATCTGAGAGGAACTGAGCAAACATGTCAAGCACATACAAGCTCAAAATGCATAAAGAGGATATCTTACGCTTCCTACTAAATATTTCCGACAATGAGCTAGAGAACAGACTGCTTTTGTATGGATCAAATTGGTATTGGTCCTGTTTCCATTCATATTATTTGCTGCTGTTAGCATATACAAGTCAAACCAAGATTTTGGATGGTAATCCACTGAATGCCATGAACTCTCAGACAAACTGGAAATTACTACTCTAGAAATTCCCCCCATGCCTAGCTTCCCTTCTTGGTCTCTGGCCAGATTTGACAGTGGTTCCAATGGTGATAAAGCAACTATCTTGTCTGTCAAAAAGACAAATCATTCTTAAATAGGATATCACATGTAGAATTTCCATTGAAAATATCCAAAATTAGAATGCAACAAGATATTAAATGTAAAAGGCTCAAATCATGTATGATTAGGCACACCAACTAAAGACAGTTAGTACAGATAACCAAAAGTAAAAATAAAGCTGTTTTGAACCTTTCTCTGGCTTAAAATTTCTCAGCAAGCATAAGACACAACAAGGCAACAAGAAAGAACCAACGATGTGAAATACAATGAAAGCATGCTTAGCACAGGTCAAGGAGGTAGATTTTGCCAAAAAAATGCAAAAGATGCGTTCCATTAAACTTCTTAAGTTAAGGTTATCACACCAGTCTACAATGTCTGACATGTTTCAAAATATTTGTGTGGAGATGATGCAAACAATGATAGTAAGGTACCCTTCAAATACACATATATGCTATAATCAAGACACAAAAACTTCAAGCACTTTGGATACAGACAACACAAAACAAAGTGGTTTCAAGTTGCAACCAGCCTGTCCAGTTTATTGATGCATTCAGTCATTCACTCAATCATAATGATTTAGCATGTCTTGCAAACACCACACACGCACAGCTATCATCACTAGATTCACTACACTTTCTTTAGCAGAGATGTCAAGATTGATCCACAAATAACCAGCAAGGGTACTCATCCAATAACATCCCACAGCCAAAATCTCATCCTAAGAGTCAGTTCCTATTAAAAAGCCAGTGACATGGAGAATGAAATTGTTTAAATTCATTAGCAGACAGAACCAAATCACTTATTAATGCAACAATTCTCACCTGAGTTATCAAGCATGATATTTGGCTTCCAAAATTCAATTTGCATCTGTACGAGAAAAGTTGAAAAAAAAAAAAATCAACAAAAAGGTTAATCTTTTCTACTTCAATGGGGATTAAAGACTTTTTATAAGAATGATTAATATATGCAATAAATCTTTAAACAAATAAACCAACACTAGTCCCATATTGAAAAGCAATTGCAGGTTTGAAATTGAAGCAACAATAAACATGTTAGAATACCTCAGCTGGTAACCTGGCATCTTCAAGAAAAAGATGAAGATACAACCCATTGATCCATGATCCCAAACGCATCAGGGAGCTTCTTCACCAGAAAAGATTAAATAAATAAATAAAAGACTCAAAATAGAAATGAAAATTTCAAATGCTTCCACTTGTGGTTCTGCCCAGGACTTAATGGCCGTATCCTGAAAAGTATTCAATACGAATAAACTTCAGATATGAGAAAATGTGTTTTACTAAGGACGAACAAATCAGAGATTCAATAACAGGAAAAAAGAAATAAATAAGAACCAATCCCTTGATCTATACTATTAAGGATATAAAACAGAGATCACTAAGTTAAGTTAACACAAAAAGGTAATCACTAATAATCAAGGTGTGTGGGAAAAATAAAAGGCAGTTCTCCTCTTTTTTCTTTTTTCTTTTTTTCTTTTTTTCACAAATTCAATTAATACTATCACGAAACTGAAAGTCACTAGCTCACCTACCAATGACAAACAAATTTCCCCGTTTGGTTTCTGAGAAAAGGTAAGTAACTGAAAAGAAAGCAGAAGCACAAACCCTATAATAGTAACAGATGGGAAAAGAAAGAAGGAAAAAGGCAATCAATTATCAATCCTTACCACTGTCCAGTGTGCATATATAATAAAAAACTTTTGTTTCTCAGTTGTGCGAAATTTTCATTTTCAAACAACAAATAAACACTCAACAATCAAATTTTACTTTCCCTTTATTTTCAAAAACTATCTAAGTAGTTAATCTAAATTCTTATAGAGTTTCAAGAAAAACCTTAACTTACAGATCAGTTTGAAGTAACTCCACATTTCTGTAACCGAATCATTTCTACTTTAGAACACAGCTTTCAAATACCAAACTCCCATTTGGCAAACAGCAAAACCACTTTGATCAGATCAGGAAAGCAAAAACAAGAGAAAAGCCTAAAATCACGCAACTTAACATGGAAACTTGAGACCGAAAAAGCCCAAATTCACAACATAAAAACTATGAGAAAGCAGCTAAGTTTGAACTAATAAAACAGAACCCACTGCACCTTTCCAAAAAAACTATGAGAGCAAGGGATCTCAGCATCGTTTTCCCGGCATTGCAAGCTATTGCTCACCACACGAGAGAGAATATTTCCCCTTCTTTTCTTCCTTTTGTTTTCTTCTATCTCACCATAGTTACAGAATCATTCCAAAAAAAACAAACAAACAAACAAAAAAATCAAAATTCCCATCTCCATTTTCTCTCTCACTCTTCAGGGCAACCGATTCTGACTCTCAGACCTCGACAACTCAGAATTCCGACGACAATCAGACCGATTCACCGGCGAGATAATCCTGTCGCCGGCCGCCGCCGCATTTGATTGTCTCTTGGTAATTTAGATAATACTTTGTAAGAGTAAAATTGTTAATTTTGGTGTTATTAAATTTAAATAATAATTAAAAGAATATTTAATTTAATAAAAAAAAGTTAATTTTAAATATATAGTATTTAAAAATATATGTATTTAAAAATTATTTTTTTTATTAAAGGTTCATTTGATATAATAATTGTGGGACAGTGGTTAATGGTTTTATTTATATCTATAAATATAAATGTTTGATAGATTTAAATATTTTAAAATTATTATAAATAAAATATTTGATAAAAAATTTTATTTAATGATTTGAAATTAACATAAAGGTTAGAATTTACACTATTAATGGATTGAGAAAATTAATTTAAGTAATTTTTTATATCAAAATGTCAATGGATTAAAATTTTTTAATTTTACAAATAAATTTATCTCTTTTAATTTTTTTAATTTTTTAATTTACGGTTTTTAATTAATATTTATTTAATAAATTTCAATATTATTTTTTACATTTAATAACATTAAGTGATTATAATATTTTTATTTTTTA